GCTGAGCATGGTGCAGTAACTCTGAAGCGGCACAAGAGGGAGCTGTAATATTTAGAAATTCCATACTAAGTAGCATCACATTTTACTTTAAACACTGAATTTCAATTTAGTGATGGTTAAGAACACAATTGTTGTTGCATATGCTTCCACTAGAAAACAAGACCCCACTGTAGAACAAAAGGACTTAGAGGGTAGGTAAAGGCTGGGCATATGATATTTATAATCCAAATGTACTAATTAGCCACTACCAAATGTTACCACTTAACATGATTCTACAAACAATGCACTTCTACTTTACAAGTAACTCTTTTCAGTAAGTAAGCACATCGAAACGGCCTAATATATTTTGCTAGATAACTGTTTTCATCATAAATTCAAATTTCAACTCTCAAGCAAGGAAGTTCTAAACTTTGGGTTAGCTTTTTACATATCCACATGTCCAAAAAGAAGTCTCAAAGTAGCAGGGCAGTAGTGGTGCACGCTTTTGATCCCAGCACCGGGGAGGCAGAGGCACACAGATCACTGAGTTCGAGGCCATTCTGGTCTACGGAGCGAGTTCCAGGACAGCCAGAGTTACACAAGAGAAATCCTGTCTCAAAAATCAAAATCAAAAACAAAACAAAACAAAAAATACTAAGTCTCAAAGTATATGCCTAAGCATATATAGGTTAGGGAAATAGCTCAGTGGCAGAGCTTACCCACTATGTGCAAATCCTCAGGTTTGATCCCCAGCTCTAAAAGATGTTTCCTCCAAGGAACACTGATATTATATGAAAATATAAATTTAGGGACTGAGGATGGCTGGGGAGGTGAAATGCTTGCTGTGCAAGCGTCAGGACCCAAGTCAGATCCCCATGTAAAAAGGCTTGCACACAACTGCAGTCCAACCACTGAGACTCTACATCCAGTGAGTCCGTGCTGAAAAATAAGCTGGACTGAAAGACAGTCGCTCAACACCAGCCTTCGCAGTGCACCGCGACGGCCTTCATCAGCGGGGCCTCTAATGCTGCTTCCGTCAGCCGTCTACTTACGAGGACTTCACTGATTCCTTAAGAAAACAGGCTTCCTTTTCCTTGTATTTTTATTTACTCATTTGTGTGTGGGCATGTATATGCTTGCATGCATGTATTTAGTATGGGCACATAGCTGTATGTGTCTGCAGAGGCCCTGAGGGGCATCAGATCTCCTGGAGCTAGAGGACAAGATCAAAATTTAGTCAAAAAGAAACAGCACAATTTGATAAATGTTTTCATGTACGCAGTATTTAGTCAACAATATAGAATTATATTTTGCTGTTTTTATTTTTACGGTAAGGAAAAAGCATGCAGATTTTTTTATAATCAGAAAAAATTATAGTAAATTACATAGTTACTAACATTGATGTGAATTCTTTCAATAGCCCTGCCATTTAGGGCTATTTCCCATTACTTGTAATTGTGGTCAGATGATAGGAAATCCTAATGTTTCTCTATCTGAACTTGTCTTTGCTTTACTTTGGAACTGCAGTGGTCACAGAGCCACATGTCATGGCTTTCCCTCTGGTTCCCTGAAGGACCAACTCCTCATCTTCTAGCCTGTTTCCGAGAAGTTCTTTTTCTGTCACTGCTTTCCGGGTTTCCTCTGTCTCTGTGACAACTGAGCAGCGTGACCACTTGGGTGACCAGACGTGGAGCCTTTCATGCTGGCTCTGCCTGAGGCTGCACGAGACAGAGCCCCAGCCACTATTCACCCTACCGTGACTCCGGACAGACGGCTGTCTCTAACAAGTTCTTCACTCTCTTCTGTCTCTATTCTCAATCCTCCCAGCCTTCCGGGTGACGACTTTTATTACTCTAAGTTAATTGACTCTCCTCTTTGCTAAAGAGTTGCTTTGCTTATGTAAGTAACTCCTTCCAGACAGCCCTAAAACGCTCTCCTGCTGCCGCTCTCCAAGCTCCAGCCGCTCTCTCCTAAGTGTGTCCTTGAACCCTCTGATGAGACTCAGTCATTAGCTGGCCCTACTCAGAGTCAGTTCCCACGTGTTAATTTACCAAATCTGAAAGCAAGCCCTATCTACTTCCCATACCTATCTAGTAACTTCTGGAGGAAGCCAGACAATGTAAAACAATAACAGCACATTGGACTTGGCTATATTCTTTTACAGGAACTTCTGATCCTGGTGTTGCGGGCAGAAACTCCAAGCTGTTCCCTTCGCAGTGTGTGGCTACTACCTGTGCTCAGCTGCTTCATCTCCGAGCCAGGCCTTCTCACTTACCAGCCTGATGCCTGGGACACTGCCCTGGCCCCTGAGGAGTTTACAGTGGGCAGTGGGAGAAGTGGGTAGAGATAGAACTCAGATGTATGCTCACATCTCTGGTGGCAGACACTGTACTCTCAGAACTACGCTCACACCTCTTGGTATCCTGCCTCAGGGCTTCGCCCCTGCATTCCAGCTCTTCCATCAGCCTTGTGTTGTCTGTGTTACTCTAGAAAAGTTTCAGCCACCCAAAGCCACATGACAAGTCGAAAGACATATTCAATCAAAAAGAAACAAAGATACATCTTGTATGGATCCATTTTCTTTCAAGAACAGAAATCACAAGCATTCTGTTAAACTGCCAGATCCCAGTACGTGGGAAGCTGAAGCACAAATACAGTAGTAACTGTTTCCTTGTGCTCTGGCTATCAGACACAAGAAATACCAGTGTTCTCTACGGACTTGTGATGAAGTGTGTCACAGACTTAGACTATCGATAAATACTTATCTTAAAATGAACCTGTAAGTACACAACAAAATAAATGCTGAACTCTATCAAGATTAAAATCTTTCGTTCTTTTTCAGTGACATTTTTTAAAAGTAAAAAGATAATCCAAAGAATAGGAGAAAATACTCATATTTGATAAAGGTCTAGTAGTCACAATTTATAAGGAATGCCCACAATTCAAAATTAAAGGTATAATATAGGCTGAAAATGAGTAAAGAATTTGAATAACTCTTCCTTCAGAGACAACAAATGATCAGTAAGCAATGAAACAATCCACAATGAAATACCCTTTCACACCAACTAGGAACACTAAAACACAGGCATAAAAATACAGGCATTCTCATGTTCAAGAGAATGTGGAAAAAAATAGAACCTCTGTGTATTGATGCATAGTAAAACTTGAAAAGGAACATAAAGGACTAAGTATCAATCCACATAAGCTCAAAAGAAATAAAAATATATATCGACAAAAAACTTACACAAGAAAGCTCACAACAAATACATTCGTACCAAAAACCTGGATCTATTAGCTGATGAATGACTAAATAAAACACAGCATACAAATGACCTAATAAGTTATAAAAATAAATTAAATACTGACATGACACATATAATGCTGAAAGTATTGTGCTAAGAGAATGAAGCCAGGCACAAAAGAACAATACTGTGTGCTGCCATTTTAGCCACAAACTCTAACAAGCAGAAACTCCATCACCAACTGCTTAGAGAGGGGAGTCAAGGGGAGAAGGGCAATGAAAGCAGCCTAAGCTGTGAGGAGAGTGTATACTGAATATACTCGAGGATCACTGACTAGTCCACAAGTA